AAAACATTTTCTGAGCATTCCAGCCTCAAATGCAGGACAATGCAGTATTACTCAAACATGCGTTAATCAAAATACACATCTGAGTAAGCCGGTAATGAGGGAACACTGAAAAGGTTTCAAAGGTAGTCATCTGGACACTGTTTATGAAATTAAGATGTTGACTTACACCCATCATCATTTTTACTTTTATAGTACTGGTCTGACTAGTAGCATTAGTCAGTGACAGTGGAAATCTCTTCGTATTAAAAACTACCTTTGAAACCTTATACCTCCTTGGACCACTGCTGGACAAATTAGGCATCACACCCAGTTAAATGATTAATTGCATTCATTTATTGCAATTGTTATCAACTAATTTAATAAGTGAATCACCATTAACTGGTTTAAGTCATGGAAACGGGAAACGGCCTGTATCCGTTTTTCCATTATTCATTTAAACACAAAACCGAAAACTGCAAAAAAACAATCATAATCCATTTTTATCATTTTGCTTTTAGAGACAAATAATGAAGAAAACTGTGTTTTTTTTATTTTTTTTTTTCATTTTCTTATTCTTGGTTTTACATTGAAAAACAAATGAACGGATGATACACGGATTTAATTATACTAGCACAATCAATTTGTACTGGGGCAAGACAAAATAAAGTTAGGTACAGGGCCTTTAAATACAGTTAAACTCAGGTCAGCTCAAAACACATCTATACCTTTCTTTTTACAAGCTGATGGGAGGGGCAGCTGCTGTTTACAAGGTGATACATTTTAATTGCTTTAGACAAATTTGTTTTTGAGTTGAGCTTCAAAAATCCAACATGTAAGTGATCCTGGAGGACGAGCAGAAGAGGCGTGTCCTCCGGGAGAGCTGAGATGTGGCGTAATGAGTGGTGCTAATAACAAAGACAGATGTGTGTGTTTAAAACACTTACTACTGCATGCTTAAAGAGGCAAAGAGCACATTACAGAGTCCTCTCCCTATCCGCACATGCTCACACAGCCTCTAGGGGGCCCCATCAGCTCCCTCTCAAGATTAGCAGCGACTGGAGCAAGGTCAGAGCTGTGTGTGAGAGAGGAACTATGTGGGCTGTACCTCCAAGAGCACTGCACCATGGACCTTCTCTATGGAGCAAGTCACAGTAATGCTGTGAATGGACAACAAATGAAGCCAATGTTTGAGACAAAAGTTTAATGAAATTTGGGCCACAACAGTGACCAGCCCATGTCCCATTCATTTTTCTCATAGACTTAAAAAAAAGAGATCATATTAAAAGTGTGAAAGCTTGCTCAGGGATAGTCAGCTACATGGTAACAAACATAAGACCTACAATTGTATGTAAAATCTTTTTCTGACATCTTATAAACCACAAGTTATTATTAAAACATGTTGCAGAATCTTGCCATTTAAACTCCCTTTTTGGACTTAAAGCAACTATGTTGTGGATATTAGTTAGCATTTAGCTGCTTAGCCTCTGCAATATCTTTGAACGCTTAATATTTAATTTTTCAAAAAGTCTATGGGAAAATTGAACGGCATTTTTACTTCCTCAACCTGAGCAGCTGGTCACTGTGGAGCTCCATTAGTCATGACCAATATTTAAATCTGATAGGCTCTTTCCATGCAGCCATCCTGCTAGTTCCGAGTCTCTCAAACCTGCTGTCCACTGTCTTCTTATCAGCAGGTTACAGGTTATTATTATTAGGATTATCACACACAGTATTAAGACTACTATGTAAATGCTTTACCACAGGAAACATGTGTGCTTATAAAAATAGGTATTTATGTCTAAAAGATAATGCTAACCTAATGTAGGTCTCAAAACAACTTTATGAAAATATATCTAATGACATGTGAATTGTTTGTTGCGCAAGATCATTCAGACTGTAGCTCTATTTTATTTAACATCACTAATTCATTTTAATTTCAGTTAGGATTAACTTCAAGACACAAATAGGCGAGTTTCAGCTGACGTCATTGTTATTAAAAGCCCGCGTTGCATGCTGGGAAATATTTTGGTCAGAGGCAAGAAACATGGTAGCGTCAAACACAGTGCGTAACCTTGCATATTTCTCCCCGATAATGGTAAATTCCTGCTGCATTATCGGATGCACAAATAGAAGCACAGAAGACGGAAAATGTCTTTTTCGTATTCTAAGTGAAAAGAACCGCTAACGGCGAATTAAATGGCTTTCAAACATTCGCAGAGCAAACGCAGAAGATCCTAGCAAACCGTGGACTCCAACAAGTTCAACAACAAACAAACAACAAATCGAGACTCTTGGAGGCTTTCATCTTTTCTGCTGTGAATGGCCCAGGAGTTTCCACCAAGTCATTGTGGATATCGCCAAAGTGAATATTTGGCCAGGTAGTTGGCGATTCGACCAGAAATTTGGTTTGGTCCACGATTTGTAAGGGTTGAAAAGGGGTTGATCACAGTCTTCTGAAGTCTTGTCTACACAATCTTGACAAGACTGATTATGTATCCGTAACTTGCTGTCCACTGCCTGGTATTTATATATAGATTAAACTTAGCACTAGTTTTCAATAGACAATGAATGGATCGGGAAGTGCGACTCCACATTTTGTGAGAGAACTTGAACTAGCCAGGCGGCTCAGTGAAATGGACTTATTGGTCGAAGTGTTACAACAGCAGAACAAGAGGAATAATCAAGCTTTTGTTACATCTAGTTGAGAAAAAAGCACTTTTGTGATTTTTTTGAGCTCCAGATGCAGTTTTAATTAGTCCCTTGTCAGGAATTTGTCCTCAGTTTGGGCTTAATTATAGGTTTGTGGTCATTAGTTACTACATAGCTGATTAGCCCTGAGAAAGCTGTCAAACTTTAAATATGAATTTATTCATTTATTTATCGAGATGGATTGTCATTAATTGAACAAAAAATCGCGCGAATCCTGCTGTATTCAGTTGATTTAGGAAATCTGGAGATTGCTACGTAATTATCCGAATCCAAAATCAGAGCATTCATAAGAGCAGCCGGTGAAACCCACAACAACAACAAACACATGTGCATTAGCGGATATCACAAACATAACTTGATCATGTCTGCTGATTCATTGAAAAGTTGTGTATAAAAACCTAATTGTTGTGATAGAGACTTATGTGACATGTTGATTCTTGTTGGAAAAAATGTGTTTAATTTGTGTAGTAGAACCATCAGTGTAATGGCAGCACATGGAGGATTCATTGGCCATGTTTACATGATGTTTTTTTAATTCCGATTTAATTATTCTGAATTAATTAATTTGGAATCAAACTATTCTCCTTCGAGTTTACATGGAAATAATAATTCTGAATTAAGGTTTACATGGAAAACACGTTAAATCGGCTTTATTTAATGCCGCCCAACGTCTGGGGATGGGGGAGGGTTCTGATTGGACAGGGACACAAACGTATTTATGTCTACCAGAAGAAAACACACACTTCAGCTGCTACCAGCTTTTTTGTCATGTCGGTTTGTTGTTACGCGTGGGGATGCATACCGCTGTTCCCCAGTTTGTATGGGCGGGGGAACAGTCCGAACCCAGACTTCTGAACCAACGGGAGCAGCTCCAGTTCAGGTCGAGCCCCGATGAGCTGGACCGGGGAGTGGTGTTAGGTGCCTCAGTCTGAGAAGCACTGAGAAGAACTAAGAACATGGAGGATGGACTGCTCAGAACAAGATATAACAAACCAAACGGGATTTGCGCTTCTATCCAGATGTTTGTACCACCTCAGTACCAGCCGCAGTCCTGGAGCACAGAAGACAGGAGCGGGCACAGCACATTCTCACTTTTGCCGCACAGATCCACTGGTTTTGCTTGCCCCCGTCTGGACCCAGCACATGGAGAATGAAGCCTATAGACCTGTCTGACCAACCTGCTCGGAGGACGGCAAAAGACCGAGGAGGGGCTGCACTCTATAGTGAGTGCTCCCGTGCATTTACCGCTGTTACCCAATCTCAGAGCTTCTGCTCCAGGCTGATGTGCAGTGAGTTGTGTAAAGTTCTAGGCCACATACTGCTGTTTTATGAGTTCATGGTGATAACTTGGAGTGAGGACGGATCGCAGTGTTAACGGGGAACCTCGGTACCTTTCGCAATTACATAGGCAACGGGAAACAGAGATACGGGGCACAAACTTGATACAAACTTTTTCACCATATTGCAGTGCGTCATCGTGTCAGAAGCGTGATCCAACGCGCATGTGTTGAATGACCGGAATTATTTTTTTTAGCAGAATAAACGTTTACGTGATTGCAAAATAATTCGGATTTAAGTTTAATTCTGAATAAGTTTAATTCTGAATAATCATTAGGAATTAAGTGTTTACATGATCTTTTTAAAGCTGAATTTGTTTTTATTTGGAATTAAATTATTTTTAATTGGAATTAAAGGTCTCATGTAAACGGGGTGATTCTCAATGGATAATCATGTTTGAAACCCATGAAATCAAACAGTCTTTCAGAATCAGTTTGCAGCTGATGTCATCAACATTCCCTCGGGGGTGACGCTAACTGGAGCCACTGCTCTGTCTGTGTTAGCACGAACTACAAAAGGGGACCTGATTTGTGCTGTTAAATAAGTCCATTTCAAATTTAATTCAAGTTAGTATTCACTCTTACTTTTTGTTGTAAATCAAATTCCTAAACAAGACCATGAACGTTTGTATTGATCACAGGCTAATGAAACTGTGTTTTTAATTTTACATTATTATTATTATTATTTTTTTTTTTTTTAAACTAGCCTTCTCTGTTTGCTAATGAATGCACTGTGTCACCATGGTAACTGCTGAACATTCTTCCCTAATGTGATGTCACTAGCACCAGTGACTGTTGCTAGCACCGTTGCCATGACAGTTAGAATGTTGCTTTGAGTTTGTGTGTAATAAAGCAAAAAAAAAGTGTGTGGGTAGAGAGCACAGCTGAAACAGACAGAACATATAAGAGACACAAGAGATAGACAGACAGAATACACTGCACTTCAGACAGACAGGCTGAGAATTTTTTATTTTTTTTATCTTAGCTACAACTTCTAAAATGTGGAGAAGACTGAAAAACTTTTTCAACTTTACCAAGGAAAATAATACTTGGACTGGTGATAACAGTAGCACTGTGAGCTACCAGCTGAGGGCCAGTGACCTTGGGAAGGTTCACAAGGCTGCATTAAAGAGAGACTTGGTCAAATTAGAAGAACTACTGACCAAAAAGAAGCAAGACATTAATAAGCTGGATAAGAAACAGAGATCTGCGGTGCATAATGCAAGTGCTTTTGGCCATGATGAGGTGCTACAGTTCCTTGTAGAGAGACATGCCAATCTGAACCTTCTTGACAACAACAGTCAATCTGCCTTAATGAAGGCGATACAGGGTGGGCATCAGACCTGTGTTCGTATCCTCCTGGAGAATGGTGCAGATCCCATCCTGAAGGACAACAATGGTAACACAGTGCTCCATATGGCTGTTAGAAACTTGTGTGTGCCCACAGCTGAACTGCTCCTGGAGTATGGTGCTCTAATAAATGCCCCTAATGCACATGGTTTCACCCCGCTGAGAATGGCTGTCCAGCTAGACAGTACTAAAATGGTGGAATTTCTTTTGTGTAATGGAGCTGATGTTAATGCAACAGATAGCGCCAAAATATCACCTTTAATGAAGGCTGCTGAAAATGGCCAGTACAACATGCTGCAACTGCTTTTAGCACACAATGCCTGTATTACTCTAGAGGATGACAAAGGATGGTCTGCTATGGACTATGCCATGAAAAACGGACACAACACTTGTGCTAAGCTCATCTTTACAAGGCTAAAAGTATATTATCAGGGTTCTGAAAACCAAAATCAAGGACAAAATGACACTGACATCTCCAACAATCCTGAGTCTGTCCCATTCAAAGCATCCAGGATGCCAGTGAACCAGGATGAAGGTTCACTTGGAAAAGAGGAGCAGAAGAGTGACGGGGACTGCCCAGAAAGACTCCCAGAATCTGGGGAATGTGAGAGCTTCACCACAGAGAAAGTGGATATGGAAAATGATCTGCTGGAAATCATAACGGCCAAGTGCACCATGGGGCAGAGTCAGCTGAAGTTAGAAAGTGAGATCGCAGATCAGAATACAACACTGATGTGCAATAACACTAAAGAAAGGCTCAAGAGGACAGAGGAACAGCTTGACCATGAGATCCAAGAAAACCAAAAGCTGAAGCTAAAAATGATAATCCTGAAGCAGAAAGAGAACCACCTTCTAGAGGAGAACGAGTCCCTTAAAAACCGGGAGAGAGAGTACCTTCAGGAGACATCCACGCTAAAGAAGCAGCTCGCCTTTCTGAGAAAAGATCTGGAGGAGCTGTCCAAGAACGTAGGCAACGTGACTCAATATTGCAACAATCTGGAAAATGAGAAGACCAGTCTCCTAAGGAAAATGAACAAACTCAAAGAAATGCTGACAGAGAGTGAAGACAAGTCTTGCTGAGTCCATCTCCGGGAAACCTGGGACTGAAGCAGAGTGTAGGGATTTCCCAACTCAGTCACATCAGACCAGAACAGAGCCAAGGAGCTGAGGACTTTCTTTCCCAGATGTGTCATGAGTTGGACAGCAGCATCTCAAGTGTGTCAAGTTGAGTGGTTCCACTGTAAAAATGGAGATGCCCTCAGACCACTTGTCCTCCATGAACAGAACCAACCTGGAGCATCATTCAGATGCCCAACAGTGGGCATCTGGATCTGAACTGTCTGGCATCCTAACAAGGTATCTTCACAAATGTATGATTAACCAGTTGTGATTTGTTAATGTGCTGTTAGCAAATTACAATTCACTAATCAATACAACTCCAACCAGCATTAGAAAATAAATAAATAAATAAAAACATTGAAACGAGTTCATGGATTGATTTTTAAAGCACCCATTATATTATATTATTATTATTATTATTATTATTGTATAGCTTTTAATCTCCATTAAATAAAATGTTCATTGTGACTGCATGCATGTGTATCAGAAAAAAGTTATGTGAGTTTAATTTTTAATTTTTTATAATTATTTTTTTTTTTTGTCAAATATAATTCCTTCTGCTTCTAATAGATGGCAACATAATTCATGTTGTAGGTATGTTAAAAATACTGTTGAAACATAGTGCCACTTATGAGATTATTTTGATTGTTCCATATGAAGCAAAATTCACTCTTGTGAGCTTTATGCCATATCAGAAAGGGGTTACCTCCTCAAAATATTCCTGTATTTTGTTTATTATTCATCTGTCTACATCTCCAAAGGTCAAAATGCTCTGTTCCAGTTTGTGATTGTCAGGTAGTGCTAGATTTCAAGTTAATAAATACCTTTTGTTTAGTAGACCTGGGAAATTCCAGGGATGAAATCATCCAAATAATTCTAGTGAAGGTGTAATGAGTTTAAAAACACAGTGGAGCACTTCCTGTATTACCACATAACATCACAAGGTGGAACAGAATGTTTACGTTTGTGAGAAGAACTCTAGGTATGTTTTTGATGTGGAAACATTATAACAGATAATATGGGCCCTTTAAAGTTCTAAAACAGGGACATAAACTGGTTAAACCATCAACAGATGAACCTGTAATTGGTTTGGTAAATTAGGCCCATCCAGAAATACTGGGGTTGTTTCCATTAAGTTATTTACTTAAATTCAATAATGGGCTATTTTATTTTTATCTATAGGATGACTGCTTTAAATAGGCAATCTGATTTTGATATTATATAACCATAAATGCATTTGTAGATTAACTATGCAAGTGGTGCATTTTACTTTTATAGGGTATTAAACTGCTAAGACATACCATATTTAGATCACTATGTTACGTTTTATTGTTTTGAAAATGTTATATTTGCTGAAAACAACATTAAGGTGTTAGTCTACTAGTTTTATTGCCTCAATTGGGACTTGTGTTTTTCACTTTTCTCATAGACTTTCTGAGAAAAAAAAAATGTAAATCTTGTCATGGCGTGTTATGGGCATTAGAAACCATGTAGCTGTTTTTGAAAAGTCTATGGGGAAAATGAATGGGAAATGTACTTCTCCAATCAGAGTGGGTGGTCACTGTTGAGCTTTATAGAGATTTATTTGATGTGTTCATTGTATTTTACTTTTGTAATGTGAAGCACTTTGGAAACTGTTTGTTGGTGAAATATGTTATATAAATAAAGATGGCTGGATTGGTTAGTACTTGGAGGAGAGACCGCTGGAAAAATCAAGTGTCACAGTAGGAGCACCAGTAGTAGAATGGTGTGTGTTAGTGCTGGTGCACAACGGTTTGCCCCAGGGTGGCTGTGGCTGTAGCTTACCACCACCAGAGCGTGGAGTGAATAAATAATCAAATGTAAAACGCCTTTAAGTGTTCAAAAGCACTGTATAAATCCAAAGTGTTTGAATTATTTATTATTAAATGAGTGAACTTTCTGAGAACATTCAGTAGTTCTGGTCATCAGAATAGTGTTTAAACTCAGAGTGAGTGGCTGGCAGCAGACGGTCCTGGGAGCGTCTTTGTTTGCAGACTGTGCCAAGGTGCTTCCCACGCAGTTGTGTTACCCGCCCGCCCGCCTCCGTGCCCGCCTCCCCGCCCGCCCGACTGTGGCTGCTGCTGCCTGGGCTGGAGATGTGCTAATTGAAAGTTAGGATCACTTTGTGGCCATTACGAGGAAACCGGAGACGTGTTAGCGAGGAGCAGTACAGAGGCACCTGCTGTCAGCGGCTAATTGTGCCAGCGCAAGTGGTGTCTGTCAGGCTGCCATCATGCTAACACAGAGAGCTAACACAGAGAGCTAACACAGAGCAGCACCAGGGGACCCAAGAAAGTGACCCATCCAGCCAGCACACACCCCCGCAGCGGGGCTTAGGTATCTGCTCGTAATTGCATCTAATTATTTGGATGCTTGCTAATGCTAATGCTAACTAATGTGCCCTTTGAAACAGTGGAAAGGCGCTCTCTGATGTGAATGTATTGACTGTATTAGCGCGTGCGTGTGTGCTCACTTACATATGCATCAGCTGAGCGGGGCGCATGCAGACAGCTCACTGAGGAGGCCCACTGTGCTTTTGAGGAGCAATGTATAATCTGATTTAGACTCGAGCTACCTCCTATTTATTTTTAATTGTCCCACTTTAGCATTTAAGAGCTATTGATCCCCGGAAAAGCATTAAGTGACAGAATGACTATTACTGTTGCTGCGCCCTGCTTGGGGAAGCCACATCAAAGGACATTTGAATGTCAGCCACTTTCTGAGGGAATTTGCAGGCAGGTTTGGAGCGGGCAGCCTATGAACGCAAAGGACACACAATAGACAGATGCAGAAACATTTGCAGCTAATCAAAGAATAGCAGCACATTGATTTTCACAGGAAATGTTTGGAGCACCAGGTTTCATCAACACTGCAACGTACTGCACCATATTGGTCCAAATCCCACGGAGCATGTGTCCGGAATATGATAGATGGCTGTTGACTTTTTCTTCTCACACAGATCTGTTTTAAAGGAGACCTCCTCCTCCTTGTGCCACCATCCCCAGATGTTTTGATTAGCAGTGGCTCGTATGCTGGTCAGATCCCGGGATTAATGATAGATAATTTGCCTGAGGTTGGCACAGAGCTCTGCCACGCTGCCAGCCTTTGGATGCCATATGGGCACAAGCAGCTGTTTTCATTACTCTCTCTTGCCCAGATGTGTCAAACAGGATGCCCACTTCAATCCGTAGTCTTGCTGGCACTTGGTGGGGGGTGCTTTCGACTAGCTTGGCAGCTAATTACTTTAATGTAGCCGAGTATGGAGGCCCTGCATGTTTTAAAGGCCTATAACAAACAGCTGAATGCCAGCTGTCACCTCTGTGCACAATGAGGGAAGATGGATAGGTGCGGCGCACTCTGTGATGAGGTGCAGCGCTGAGGGCAGAGCCGCCTCCGCCCCTCCACAAAGAGAAGGTCAAACCAAAAACAGGCTGGAGCTCCACAGCCTCGCGCTGACAACTGCCTCTGCTAAACGGGACACTTTCAGGGCGACCTTGCCCATGTCTTCCACGTTATCCGCGCTCGAAGCAAAAGGCCCTATTGAGAGCTCTGGATGTGAATGCAGAGTGTGAAGGCGAGGTAGAGTGCCAAAGACCACACAGGCGCTGGCAGCAGACAAGTGAAGAGGAGGAGGTGCCAGGACGTCAGCTGGGCCCAACACGGGCCCCACACTCCAGAACATGTGTCCAGGGTGTCCACTTTCCTGCAGTGCGCCGCTCGCATTGTTCACTGATAAATCCTCCCATTAGGCACTAGTGTGTCATTTTTCACAGACCGATCTGCACCCTGTGGTTTGTGTAACACAGTCAAATAAAAGACTTTACTGGGACATTGGCACATGTCAGTGCCTGAATAATACACATGATGTCTTTGTGCGTTCAGTCAATTCCATCATCAATAGGTTTCCATTATGCAGAGATGCCATGTCTATACGCGGCCCTGCTCTATGCCCAGCAGCAGTGCTGTGCTCCTGTGAGGGTGGGTCGACAGCTCCTGTCTGTGCTTTGATATCTCCATCAATAGCTCCATGCACACTGCACCTGCCCAAGTCAATACTCCATCACACCTTCTTCTGAGGCCAGGAAAGGATTAGAGCACCCTGCTCTGCACCACAGCCTTCAAGGAGCTGGAGGTGTCTCATGCGCCGCAGTGTGCAGGGTGTCCCTGCTCTGTCTGCTCAAAGGTCCCCTCCCCATGTTAGTTTATTTATGCAAATTTGTATTTGTACATGTTATTGTCTCAGAAGAGAATTTGTCCTTTGCACTTGACCCAGTGTTCGACCAGTGTCTCAGGGTTACCTGTCACAAGCAGATGATGACCTCAGTGCAGGGCCCAGAGACCGACGGGTCACGAGCACATATCAGGATTAGCCCAATGTTCATGGGTTGATGCCGGAGTAAATGCTGATTTATTTCAGCTTTCTTCCATGTTCCCTTATCAAAAACACGCCTGAAGTTTTCGATGTCATCCATGCATGTTTGAATAATCTAGCAAACTCAACCTTACTGTCCAACGCTCAGCCCACAAGCCTACACTGTCCATGCTCCCACAAGACAATTCTCCATAAATACACAAAAACATGATACAAAACTGTACACAACAGTTTCACAAACAGAAAAACAAAAGTAAAACTTTCCAAAGCAATAAGAGGTAACATGGTGATCTATTATGTGATGTGTCAGTAGTTAACACCCCACAGAAGTAAAATACCCCCTTTTAAGGTCAGATAATCCGAATGAATGCATGTCTTTGTAATGTGTGTGTGTGTGTGTGTGTGTGTGTGTGTGTGTGTGTGTGTGTATTTCACGGGCCTCACAGTGCTCTCTCCGCTGTACTCCATTCAAACCCAGTCACCAGGGTGTTGTTTTGCTGCGCTTGTTTTTGTCAAGTATTGATCTTAATGTTCTCTTGATGCTCGGGGAAAAGATGAGTAGTGGGAG